CCTCTCTCCTTTTTCCCTTTCCCTTTCCCTTTCCCTTTCCCTTTCCCTTTCCCTTTCCCTTTCCCTTTCCCTTTCCCTTTCCCATTCCCTTTTCTTCTTTCCTGTCTGTCTTTCTTCTTTTCTTTCTTCTGTGTTCCTCTATTCTCCACCCCTTCTCAGGCAGTCTGCATAACAATTTACAGCCCTCACATGCACATTATGTACCATCACTTTGGCTGGTGACTACAGACATGCTTGGTGCAGCTGTCACGGGCTGAACCTGCCTTATGCCCATCAGCTCAAGGGGGATATATAGAAACAAAAGCCTTGGCTGTGAAGGCCTGTGTTCTGCCCAGAGTGGATGGATACACCACATGGTGACCGGTGGGACCTGTGTTGCCCAGGGGAGGCACTGGGGTTACAGCAGTGTGGCCTGTACAGGCCAGTGTTAGGGAGAGGTGGGGATGGTGGGGAAGGCAAGGCAGAGGGTTGAGGCTTTCACAAGTCCCCTATAAAATCTGTGCCTGGTCCTGTTCCTTCCTGTTATTTTTGGCACACCTTCAAAATGGATGTGATTAATGCTGCCTGCTTTTAATCCTGTGTAACTATTTTCTATTTCAAGATTTTTGGTGTCAGTCAGGTCAGGGAGTATGTAGCTGTGGCTGTTTCTGATGCCTGCATTTATTGATCAGAATGATTATTTCCATTAAAACTTCTATCTTGGTTTTAAAGTCAGTCGCCCAAGAGCCTCAATGCTTCCACATATTTAATACTTTTCACTTATTTTAATAAGGTGTAGTATGTCCTATAGTAAACTGTTTAAAAGTAGGGTTTATAATTTCCCAATATGTGTGCACAATAGTAACATCCTAATGTAGAAATGAAAGAGCTCCCTCAAGTGGTTAAAAAATATTGTTACACGTTTTACTTAAATCTTTTCCTTTCTAAAAAATCCCCCAAATGACAGTAATGTTAGATACATAATGTAAAGCAGGTTATAAATGCAGCAATGAATGAGCTTCCATTTTTGCATAACTAGAAAAAATTGAGTGAATGTAAAAAAAAAAAAAAAAAAGAAACTGTGGAGGACTTCAGCCTAATTTGATGATGCATGATTGAATTTTGGCGGGAAAACTGAAAACTAACTCCAGCAGATATCACATTGTTGAGGATGACTGAAGTGTTTATAAATTGTAAAGACTGCCTTCTAAAAACTCTGGTTCAAGTTTTCACAGTTCCTTTTATCATGTCAGGGTTTTGCATACGATTACCCTGCTCCTCTTTACTTTGTATGAGGCGTAGAGTTTTCAAAATATTTGGTAAAAGAGATTTAGATCATCAAACTTCGGAGAAAACACAGAAGCAGCAGGAAATAAACTCCGACTTCAGCAAGAATTTATTGCTCAGTTACTTTCCCAGCAATGAAATTGCTGGTTTTGCTGACAGATGAAACAGAAAGAAACAATCGCATGTCTCTCGGCAGAGGGCAGTGGTATCCTTACTCAAACATCACATCACTTTTTGCTACTGAACTGAAATAAAAAAAAAAAAAAAAAAAAAAGATAAGCCCTACTGCCAGCCAGCTGGTTGCTAGCTTCCTCTCCAAGCTCAGAAATTCCAGTGTTGAGCTTCTTGCCACGACCAAGCAGGAGGTGCCACAGCCAACTTAATTGCCGTGATTCCATTGCTGAAAAGGGAAACTTGCATTACTTTCTGAAGAGCAAAAAATTTTTCCTTTACCTACCATTTTGAAGTAAAAGAATGAATCTTGACAGCTGGGCTGGTGTAATAGTTGGGGTTTTGTTTGTTTAAATTGAGGAGGTTATTTCTTCAGTATATTTCAAAAGGAAAAGATCCTTCTAATCTGGCTAAACATCAAATGATGAAAGGTATTGAATCCGTATAGGTATAACTACTGTCTAACCCTACTAAGCTGAACTGTTTTCTGAAACTGTTCTTTAACATCTGTGACATACCAGCTTTCTCTTTCTTTTAGGCTCAGAAACAATTTCACCTGTGTCCCAACCACAGTTTACAATATTTTCATCATTCTCCTTGTGACACCAGCTCAAACGAATCTCAGGTTTATTTTGCAGCATGTTCTGTTGCTTATTAAAACTGCATGAAAATATTGAACTGCCTCAATGAGAGGGTCTCTGAAGTTGTTTCAGCAGCAATACATGGCATGAAATATGCAGTCAGCCCTGGAAGGGTGACTTCAGAGAGATTAGTTCCAGAACAAACAGGTCTAGTTACTAGTATTGACTCTCCTGTGTATTTTTGTGGAAATGCAGCACTGAACTTGGCCTGTGTCTCCTTCCCATTCCTACAGCAGCAACTGCACATGTTCCTTGTGACTCCACAGATTGCCAGCTGCGTTACACAGCTGGGACCCCTCCTTGTGAAGGTAAGACACAGCAGGTGGAAGAGTAGACATTTTTACACCTAGTTTAATGGCTGCTTACTGCTCTGTAGTAGTCATCTCTTCCTCTCTGTATTTCATAAAAACGTGCATCCTTTCTCTTTTTCCTAAGTAAATATAAAATAGTTTGCTCTCCTCATAGCTGCTAAGGTGCTTTGGTGGAAAAAACAGTGTAAGCCAGTATATTCTAACATTTAATTGTCTCCCATTTATTTGTTACAGTATAAATGTGCTGATGGGCATGGAAGAGAATTAGTACTTATAGAATGACTCGTCCAGGATGATTCCCAAGACAGTTGTTTGTGGGTAATCGCGCAGTCCTACCTATTCTGTACTTTACAAAGTGCAGGTTATGGGGACTAATAATGTCCTATGTGCAGCAATCAACTTTTTCACTTTTCCAGTGTGGGAGATTCCCACAGCTTTCTCCACTCCCCAGCTGTAGAAACAGAAATGTGTTCTTAGGGCAGGGCTTTTGTACACAAGCTGTAATCTTTTTTTTTTTTTTTTTTGTAACCTTTTAGACTGTCTTCAAAAACAACATTATGAGGCTGTTGTAAAGGTATTGGACTTGAAAGGTGTGGGGAAAAAAACACTGAGGTTCTATGGTGAGAAGAGATCAGCCTCTCTGAGGGAGTATGAGATCATTAGGGTCATCAAGGAGAGATTTTACAGAGGAATGTCATGTAGGTAGCCAGTATACTTGCAAGGCACATGGGGAACACCATGGAGAAGTCTGGTAGCACTGAAATGGCAGCTAGTATAATGCCAAAATGGTTAATCTTTGTAGTGACAGACTCCCAAAAATATGAGGATATGGTGAAACCAGGATATAGTACTCGGAGGAGAACAAATGTCTTCATAAAGCCATGGAAGATTGACTCTCTTGTAAACTAAGAAAGAAAACATGTTTTCAGTTTACATACAGTGTTAGACATTTCCTCTTTTCCAGCTTGTTTTAATCTCCACAAGGATAGATGATACCTACCCAAAGTTGTCCCAAGCAGGAGACATTTCTAAATCTGCCCAGCCAGCTATTTGGCAGTTTCCCATGGCAATGAGGCAGTGCATCTTGATGCTCTCCCTTCTCTGAAAGTCCTTCCCAAGCTTGATATGGACTGACAATACCATGCTTTTGTAGCTCCCCTGCCAAAAACTTCCCTCTTGGAAGGGGGCCATTCCCACCTGCCCTTTTCTGCTTCACCCTGATTTTGGAAACACCTGGCTAGAGAGGAAATCCATCCATGTGTTCACTCTCTGCTGCAGTGTTTCAAGCCAAGGAGGGGCCGCTGCTGGTTACACAAGTTGAGGGACTGGTGAGGGCAGTGGCTTCCAACCTTCCTGCCTTGGAAAGAAGTTTTGGGTGATGGTAAGGGAGAACACTGTAGAGGCCAGGAACAGAAACAAAGAAGAAGGGAAGGAAGGGAAGGAAGAGAGGAAGGAAGGAAATCCAGATTTCTGTCTAGTCTCCCAAAAGAATCAGAGTGAAAGTTGGCACCTTTGGCCTTAGCAACAAGTAGAGCAGTAAAGAATGTACAGACTTGGTACAATGCAGTGCTTACTGAAGGAGATGACAAGCACGAAGGAACGCTTCCAAAACCCTGAATTCAGATAGATCTATGTCACAGCTGAGTCTCTGGCAGCTCTCAAAAGCATTTCACTGAAAGTGAAAAAAATAAGTCAGAGTTACAAAGCTGAAAAAGGAGCTTTTGCTATCAGCTGAGGACTAGCAAAAATGGAATGTTATAATGGAACTACACTGGGAGGTGAAGCATTCTGCAGGGTTTGCTGCAGTTGATCTGCACTGGGCTGAGTTGATGTGGTTACAAAAACATCTTTGTGCTCAGCACTATTCCGTTGTTGGCCTAGTGCCTTGAGTCTTATGTGCTTTGGAAATACAGATGAGGAGATGAAAACTTGAGCTTGTTTAAAGGATTTAAATCTGAAGATGGCAGGCCCAGGAGAGGGATTCTGAGTTCAGGCATGTAGGTCATGCAAGAGAGGTCTTGTCTTCACTAGCAAGTTAATATGAAATATAGTAACAGTATTCCTGTTAGTTCAACCCTTGCCCACACAAAAAAATTCCCTCGTTGCATAAAGCGGCTGGAGAAACCTGAATTGACAAACCTACCAGAAAACAGGGTAGACCTTGAGTGAATTCCCTTTGTCCTTTACCACTGCCATTTCTCTATAGGACCCATGTTAGCACCATCTGAACAACCAGTAATGCTCACTCCCTGCAGTTTTTCCACTTGAGCTTTCCTCACTGACTGTTTGCTCCTTGCTTCCTTGTGAGTTTATTCACCCAGTTGTAAAAGGCTTCCAGTGCCCATAACAACCAACACCCATCTTCAGTTCAGAAGTCTCTGTTTTATTATTTTGAAAATGTTTCTAACAAGACGCCATTTTTCCGTTACCTCCTGATCAGGCACCAAGTTATGGAAGAATCACTGGTG